GCACAATATTTGTTAAAGAGAGGTCAGAAGGAAAAATACCTCTCTGCAACCAATCCACAGCATTCAAAACAATAGCATTCCCCATAATATGCCAGTACTTCTGAAGGAAGGCCGGGTTTAAACCGTCAGGTCCAGGAGCCTTGTCAGGATGCATACTGAATAAATCCTCTCGAAATTCATCTTTCCGGAATGGAGCTAACAAACTCGCTGCATCACTATCAGTCACCCTTTTCTGAAACAACCTCAATAAACTGCTTCTATCCGGTTGTCTCTCAGCCCGAAAAAGCTCAGAAAAATAATCTTTCACCAACACCTCCATCTCTCCATGATTAGACGTAACAAAACCATCACTTTTTTTAAGCTTTTTAATTCTATTAATATTCCTCCTACCTTTAATCTGCTTATGAAAATATTTGGAATTTTTGTCGCCATATTTAAACCAGAAGAGTTTAGCCTGTTGCTTCTTTCGAATTTCTTCCGTAAGCAGTATTTTATTCCATTCCTCTTTAAGTCGTGCCGACCAGGACCCACCATACAAATCTCTATCAAGTTCAATTTGTCGCACAATCAGATTCCGGCGTTTCCAGAATTCCCGATTTCTAGCTCGACCCCACCGATTAACGTAAAAAATAAGAGCATCACGTCTGCTTATGAAGTTCAAATTAACTGACTCCTCCCAACCCCTCCGTACAACTAACTCCAACTCATCTTCTACTAACCATGAGTTATCCACCCTGAAAGGCCGAACATAATTATGATACTCATTCGGCTACAAATCAATCACCACTGCATATGATCAGATACTGGAGTAATTTGTGTAGTCGCAATAGCATTCGGAAACAAAGTTGCCCAGCGGTCATTAGACATAGCCCTATCCAATTTTTCTTTTATACGATCACCATTAGGATTAGTACCTTCAAAAGTGTAAAATCATTAGACATAGCCCTATCCAATTTTTCTTTTATACGATCACCATTGGTACCTTCAAAAGTGTAAAAATAACCAGCTGATTCCAAATCAATTAAACCAGCATCATCAAGAGCCGATTTAAAACCATTCAAGAGAAAATTTGGTTTAGGTGGACCTCCCTGTTTTTCCAAGTCAGCAGCAATGTCGTTAAAATCCCCTACACAAAGCCAAGGTAAGGAACTATTGTTTGCCAGCGTTCGAATAAGATTCCAGGATGAACGACAACGATGCGCTTCTGGATACCCATAAAAGCCAGTAAAACGCCAACATAAATTGTCTTCCTTAATGTAGCAGTCAATAAAATTAGTGGAATATGAAGTTATCGTAAGAGCAACAGAAGATTTCCAAAGAACACATAAACCACCCCCCATACCAATCCGGTCAACACAAAAACAATTATCAAAACCAATTAAAAGCTTCACCTAACAAATTTATCAAACACCAATAAAAAGCTCAACCTCCTCCATTCTCATGTGCATGCATCCTTGTTCTTAATTAAAAAAAACATCGTGGTCGGTAACTTACAAAATAAATGCCTTAAGAGCATTAACTGTCCGAGGGTATACCAATTTCCCGGCAGTGTCGCCAGCTGATGAGAATCTTGTTGTTGGACTGGCCCTGCGTTTGCGAGATCAGCCGCCTAATTTTGACGTTGAAGAATGAACTCAGCGTTTTAGAACCTCCTGCCAGAATCCTTAAGGTGGCGCGCTGAGGGGAAACGGCCAGCAGGCGGTAGTCGTATTAGAAAAAAAATCATTTGTGGTCAATATTGATTTGATACTGTGATTATTATAATTTTTTAAATAATTAAAAATAAAACATGTGGTCGGTAACTTAAAGATAAATCTTTAAGAGCATTAACTGTCCGAGGGTTACCAATTCCTCGGCAGTTCCAGCTGATGAGAATCATTGTTGTTGGCTGCCCTGCGGTTTTGCGAGATCAGCCGCTAATTTTGACGTTGAAGAATGAACTCCAGCGTTAGAACCTCCTGCAGAATCCTTAAGGTGAGAAACGGCAGCAGGGGTAGTCGTATTAGGGAAAAAATCATTTGTGGTCAATATTGATTTGATATGTGATTATTATAATTTTTAAATAATATATATTCACATTTTTAACTATTTAATAAGTATTTAATTTATAAAATTTTATAAGTTGAAATGTTCAATAGAAAATTTTTATAGGTTGAAATGTTCAATAGATACAATTTTATAAATTAAATTTAATGAGTTAAAATAAATTTTTTTTTGATTAAGTATACGAGTGAATTTATGTATTTGTCCATTTATGAATGGATAGATTGATTACGCATCGACAACAATGGCCAAACTAAGAAATTTTCAATTCTTTGAATTACATTAAAATTTGTAAGAATGGTCTGTACAGTGTTGGACATAGAACTATTCAACATTGTCGCTATAGCCCATAGTTGGCTCCTTTCAAATCAACCAAATTGGCCCATTGTGCATTTCCAAATTTCTTGGGTTGATCTTAGTACTTTCAAGCTCTATACCCATAAGATCCATATCTACCAATAATGATGTGTCTCGATCATAATGGGCATATGCTCAACCTCACTTTCTTCTTCTTCTTCTTCTTTTTTGTTTTTTTTTTTTTTTATATGTAAAATGACTATAATATTTTTAGTATGAAGATTTGATTGGAAATTTAATGAAATGGAATTAAACTGTTCTTTTTTTTATTGGGCGGTTCAATGGAATGAAATAATATTGCAGACTACAAAAGAGAGGACAGTCCTCCCATAAACTCACCAAATTAGTTAAAATACTTGTTAAAAGTACAATTAATAGCTAAAAATAAAGGTTATTGACTGCATTACCATTTAATTAATTTTTTAAATGTCATGAAAGTTAAGATATTTTCTAACAACCTCATAAACCCTATAAATTTTATTTGTTGTGTTTGTTTCCTATAGATTTATCAAAGAGCTATAGATTTATGCAAGATTGTAGGGTTTGAGTTGGAGAGAATGTGAGTGGTGAAAAATTAATTTAAACAAAGAAGAGTTGATGAGTATTTGTGTTGGTGGATATGGTTTCCATTAAGGAATTTTGAAATTTTCATTTCTTTCATTTCATTGCAAGGGTGATTAGGAAGGAAGTCTTTCCTTTCTCATATTTATTTTTGACAAGGATATTGAAATGAAATGTAATCTCAGTCATAAATAACTACAATTTCATTCATTAATAAGATACCAAGCTTAATGGATTCACAATGAAAGATATTTAATATTTCTTTTAGTGGGTGGATGAAAAGGGAGGAGAGGACTAGATTTTTTTTTTTTTTTTTTTTTAAGATTCAAAATCTCATTCTATTTTATCTCTTTCATGTCTTAAAAATTTTTTCACAAAAATTAAATATCGAATATATAAATTTAATTATGAACTTTGGTGAATTTTCAATTTCTAACCAGTATGCTAACATATAAATTTGACCATAAACTTTTGTCAATTTAATCGATTTGGATCAACTTATAATTATATATACTTTTTTCGCTGATGAAATTAATACCTAAAAGTATTTTCTTTTTTTCTAAAAAAAAAAAGCCAACTGAATAAAATTTAAATAGACTTGAGTCGGTTGATATATTTCATTTTAAAGTAGTCCAATCGAATTAGATATACGACGAGGCAGGTAAAATTAATATGGAGTACTTTAATATAGATTCACAAAATTGCCTGATAATGTAAAATGATTTTGAAGAAATCAGAACAATCTTGAATGGAAAAGAAATAATAATTATTTAAAAAGCAACTACAAGATTACTATTACCATACCATAATATTTTTTCTTTATTTAGTGAGATTGGATTGGCAAAAGTCTAAATTCTCCTGCAGCATTCAATAGCTGTATTGTTCCTATGTAAGAAAAATTATAAAAAAAATTATATAAATTGATTAATTATTTTATAATATGAAAATGAAATTAGGTAAAGTTGCAAAATTGAGTTATTATTGCTTATACAGCTTTGTTCCAACCTAACAAGAGAATCATTGACTTAGAAACTTAGACTTCGAGTAAAACTTGAATGCTCTAAGAATACTTTTTTTTTCCTTAAACCATAGACATTGTATTAATATGGAATAATAATAATAATTAATGGTAATAATTAAGACAATCTATATATCACTTGTCCTTTTTTTAAGACTTTGTAGTATGTTTAATTTCTATTTGTAATGATTTCAATAAGATCAATGGTTGATTTAATTCTATTTATAATATTTTAATTTTTAATTTTTTTATATTTTAACATCCAAAAAAAATTTTTGCAAGTGAGTGTTAGTATTATGAAAGAAGTTACAATCACTTGAAGTGATTATTTTGTTGTAATTTAAAATTAAAATAGATCATTTTGCTGAATTAATAATACCAAATATAAAAATTCATTCGATTGTCTCTGCTTTTAATTTTTTTTGATTCCAAGCAATATAAAAAGAGAGAAAAAGAAATAAAGTAAAGAAATTAATAAAACAATTCATTTTTATTTTCTGATGAGGGAGTTTTACTATAAGGACTTAATTGTATAAAAATTATTAATTTCAGTTATGTAATTACAAAATCAAAATTGAAAAATTAAAAACTTGAGACACAAAAATGCAATTAATCGTCACCAATTTTGACTAATGTAAAAATATTTTTTTAAAAAATAATTATAAACTCTACAATGAGATTATTATATATAGAATTGAATTCAATCAATTAAATATAATCAAACACGTTAACGCGGTCTGATTGGTCTTTTGTTGTTATCGAGTTTTAATACTTTTTATCATAAAATTATTATTATTAATCATGCCGTACAACACATAATTTTCCTTTAATCGGTTTCTATAAAATGAATAAAATCAAATATTATTTTCAAAAAAAATAAAATAAAATCAAATATTTTGTATGATAAGAAAAATAATATAAAATGAAATATGATGGGCGTGCGGATTTTTCAAGTCCCTCTCCCCCGTTTTGAAATCCTGTGGGTTTTCTATTTTACGGCCAAAAAAAGGCAGTACACAAAAGCAAAACCATGGGCAGTTTTCTGTCGAACGCAAAAACAAAAACTAGTTGCTCCCATCTCTGTATATTACTCTCTCTCTATCTCTTCTTTAACGCGCATTCTAATGGCACCACTCCCTATGCCATCTCTCTCTCACTCACTTTCTTTCTGTCTCCATTTTTAAAGCCTGAATAACCAGTAATTTTCTTTTTTAAAATTTTTATTTTCTCTGTATTGAAGGAGGAGTTAACTTTTTCAGGCCTCCTTGTTGATGGTACGTCTCGAGTTCAATCTTTCAGTTCTTGGCTTTGGGCAATCATCGTTTCTGGGTTTTGTTCTAAAATTCAGTTCATTTACTGGGTATGTTTCCTTCGAACTCGTCTGCTAAGCAGCAGCGACTTTTAGTATATATGTGCATTTAAAGTTCTGAACTTTACATAATCATATGCATTTGCTGAAGTGTGTCTTTTAGGGCGTTATTTATGCTCAATAATCTTGAACCCAATAGGAAGTTGAAGAAAGTAGTTGATGTCATTTTTTTGTTTTTTTGCTTTTTGTTGTTATTAGTAGAATAGAAAAGCTTTTGTTTTGATGGAACACAATGGTTTAGCTGGTGGGATATTTTCAGGGATGGGATCAGGAGTGCTAGGACTAGAAATGCCACTACACCAAGAACAAAATCCTCAAAACCCACATCACTTGCACCACCCACAAATTGTAGCCTATGCCCATCATGAATCAGATCATCACCCCCAAACACAACAATCTATGAAACATCCTTACCCTTATGCCTCTGCAAAACCAAAACCACAATCACCACCTAGTGATGAAGATGAGCATTTTATTGGAGATGATGTGACTAGTGATGGAAAAAGAAAGATGTCTCCTTGGCAAAGGATGAAATGGACTGATAGTATGGTTAGGCTTCTTATAATGGCAGTATTTTATATTGGTGATGAGGCTGGATCTGAAGTGAATGATCCCACGGGGAAAAAAAAGGCTGGTGGGTTATCACAAAAGAAAGGGAAATGGAAATCTGTTTCAAGAGCAATGATGGAAAAAGGATTTTATGTATCTCCTCAACAATGTGAGGATAAATTTAATGACTTGAATAAAAGGTATAAGAGGGTGAATGATATACTTGGGAAAGGAACTGCTTGTAAGGTTGTGGAGAATCAAAGTTTGCTTGAAACAATGGATTTGTCACCAAAAATGAAAGAAGAAGTGAAAAAATTGTTGAATTCTAAACACTTGTTTTTTAGAGAAATGTGTGCTTATCATAATAGTTGCGGTCATGGATCGAGTGGAGTTGCTTCTGGTACTACTAATCACTCACCAGAAGTTGCTACTGACCAATCTCATGCTCAACACCCACACGCATCTCATGTTCAGCAGCAAAGGTGTTCTCATTCATCTGAAAATGCCCAACTCGCAACCAATTCAAGGAGTGAGACTGAGGGGTCAAAAATGGGGAGAAGGGTAAGCAATGAAGAAGATGATGAAGAGGATGAGGAAGAGAGTGATGATGATGAAGATGATTATGGTGATGATGAGGATGAAGCAATTGAAGGCAATTCAAGAGGTCAAAATGGGCATGGACATGGACATGAAGATGAAGATGATCATGAAGAGAAACCTTCGCGAAAGAGGCAAAGAACTGGAATATTTGCTTTATCATCATCTTTGATGCAGCAATTGAGTAGTGAATTAGTTAGTGTTATTCAAGACGGAGCAAAAAGTCCATGGGAGAAGAAGCATTGGATGAAAGTAAGATTAATGGAATTAGAAGAGCAGCAAGTGAGCTATCAACGCCAAGCACTTGAACTTGAAAAGCAAAGGCTAAAGTGGGTGAAATTTAGTAGCAAGAAAGAAAGGGAAATGGAAAGAGCTAAATTAGAGAATGAAAGGAGGAGACTTGAAAGTGAAAGAATGGTACTTCTTGTTAGACAGAAAGAGCTTGAATTGCTTGATCTTCACCATCATCAGCAACAGCAACAACTTTCTTCAAACAAGAGAAGTGACCCATCTTCCATTACTGGCTGAATTGTAATATAATAAGTTAAATTAGATATTTTAATAGAAGAAAGACGGTTGTTTTGTTTTTTTTTAAGTTTAATACGTGAAAATAGTTGTTTTCCTTTTCTTCAATGGAGTAGTTAATATTTCTTTCTTCATTAGTCTTTCTTAACGATGAAAAAAGTCAACTCGTTTGCCAAGTGCAGTAATCTTCCTTCTTTGCCTGCAGTTACATCCAAATACGACTCTTAAACTTTTATGCAAGCACAAAGATGCAAAATACTTGCTAATTGGAACTCTGTTGTAATGCTTCAGGCCTGAAATTTGCAGTGATCATATTTGCATGATTATTAGCGATCTTCTATAGTTTCATCTATATCTATCAAAACTACATCCAAATACGACTCTTAAACTTTTATGCAAGCACAAAGATGCAAAATACTTGCTAATTGGAACTCTGTTGTAATGCTTCAGGCCTGAAATTTGCAGTGATCATATTTGCATGATTATTAGCGATCTTCTATAGTTTCATCTATATCTATCAAAACATACAAGTAAAAAATACAGACCTACATCCAAATACGACTCTTAAACTTTTATGCAAGCACAAAGATGCAAAATACTTGCTAATTGGAACTCTGTTGTAATGCTTCAGGCCTGAAATTTGCAGTGATCATATTTGCATGATTATTAGCGATCTTCTATAGTTTCATCTATATCTATCAAAACATACAAGTAAAAAATACAGACCTACATCCAAATACGACTCTTAAACTTTTATGCAAGCACAAAGATGCAAAATACTTGCTAATTGGAACTCTGTTGTAATGCTTCAGGCCTGAAATTTGCAGTGATCATATTTGCATGATTATTAGCGATCTTCTATAGTTTCATCTATATCTATCAAAACATACAAGTAAAAAATACAGACCTATAAAGCTCACGCCTGGTGGGACTCGAACCCACAATCGTCTGATTAGAAGTCAGACGCCTTATCCATTAGGCCACAGGCGCTAACACTGTTGTGATCAATAAAGGTTCTACCAAATTTATGCCGCAATATTTATCTTTTAGTCCAACATTTAATTCTTGGCATGGCACCTATATGTAGTGTGTCGTAGCAAATACTTCTTCTAAACAAGTGGAAGAAGTATTCAGTAATCAGATACGTCCAAAACATGTTTTTTTTTTCTCCGAAGTTGTAGCCACAAAAACGCCACAAAATTACAAAAGTTTTCTCTCAATGGACAATTGCTTCAGACTAAAGTTCTCTACTACATCCTCTATCTTAATACTCATTCCGTTCCAAAAAACATAAACTTAATACTATGTTTCAAAAATATAAACTAATTTTTTTTTATATTTTAATTAATTTATAGAGTTTTTCAATAAATAATTAATATTTCAGTACACGTTTCAATTACTCTATATTACTCTATATTTATATTTGGCTAAATATTTAATAATTGACACAAATTTTATAAGATATAGATAATTCCCTCATACTTTTTTGTAGCTTATTTAATACTTAAATATAAAAATTATCACTGTAAAAATTATACCTAATTACAAATCAGATCAAGTTAAATCAAAAGATCTTGGTACCTTGTGCCAATCAAACCCTGAATTGAATGACAGTTCAATCAAGTTGCTTGATTACACCTGTTAAATTGAATATGACTTTCAAGGAAAAAAGAAAAAGATAAAACTAAGCGAGAGATGCTATGCTTGATGTCTTGATAAAGTAGTGATTCCTTTTAAATTATTAACTTAGAAAAAGCATCACAAATCCATTCACTGCTTCGCATAAACGCAATGCAATGCATTTCTAAAATAATTTACTCCCTCCCCTTAGTCCCAAAATAATAATAATAATTAATAATCCACATCAATTTTTAGAGAAGTCAAGAAGTCAAAAACTTTCCACTAAAGAATGGATTGGAGTATAAAGCCAAGAAGCAAACCAACTCAAAAACTTCTGGCTGAATGGAAAACATAGATCTGCCTGCCATGGCATTCATAATGGGCAAAAATTAATTGCCAGCGTACATTCTTAATACATTCCAAAACACAAGTCTGTCTAAAAAACCTGGAGAGAGATAGAAACCTCGCAGGTTACAGTAGAATCCACCTCCTACTGTCAGAAGTGTAGAAAACATGCCCCTATATGGCTTTAGAAGAGAATGATTTTAATCTTCAAGCTCAATAATTTTAACCACAGATGCATCTCCAACTTTCTGGCAAACAACTACCCTGTCATGAGACTTAATAACTCCTGAGGCCTTTCCATGATCAAGAGCAACCTTCAGGACAGATTCATTTGTTGCACTCGTAGATTCCGCCTGTAAGCCAATATTGGATACCATATTTCACAGTTATATTCAATAAATTCAACAAACATAAAAAAAAAGGGCTAGAAATTAGTTTGGGCACTGCATGTTCTCAAGGATCGAGAGATGCAGGGGTAAGATTATCGTGTACTTAAGAGGTAGTGAAGTTGATCCAGAAGACTGCAGAACTTAACAGCATAGTTTCACTAATTGAATTGATAATACTGAGTTATAATCATCAACTGGAAGAAGATGCCTCAAACTACTGAAGTTGGACCAAATGCTACCGCGATTTATTTTACCAAAAACAAATGGGCATTTAAATTGTGTAAATGTCAACATGATCGACACACAGCTTTTTTCTTCATGAATTATTATATATATATAAAAAAACTTACAGGATGTCGTGGATCAGCAAGCATAGGGAAGAGACCTCTGACAATGAGTGATTGCCTTGCCTGAAGATTAACATGTACATAAAAATTTCCATTAGCATTAACATACAGGCGTTGCATGAAGTAGAAGTGCCATAAATAGGAGATATTAATAGGAAATAGGTAGGCACGAAAAACTTCACAACATTAGAACTTTTGTTGAGGCATAAGAAAAGGATATAATATGAGCACAAAGATGCAAGATATCTATTTCAGAACTATTTCAAGCAAACATGCATATATCAATTTGCACAATATTATAAAACAATAATCCTTGTAAAGTCCTAAAGTAATGTTGCTAATTTCATAAAGAGAATGCAGTGAGCTTATCAATTTGCATGCATCATTAATCAATGAGCTTAAACAAATAAATGCGGTCAGTTCAGAAACCATAAGAAGCTTGAGTCAAGAGCATACTTCAAAGGCCCCACTGAAGCTCCATCTCAGTTGATTTGTCTTAAGCCGGGGGATGACAACAGACAGAACTGGCATTGTGGGCCTATATTTGGCAATCAATCTGTATATGTGTTAACAAGTTTAACAGAAATTAGTCCACATGAAAGTAGCAAAATAATTACAAAACTAGACGTGATGCCTGCTACATTCACTTGCACACAAAAAGATAAAGAGGAAAAACACTAACATACCTGGCAGCCCTTCCTGATGAAGTGAAGCAAATAATGACAGATGCCTTCACCTTAATAGCTGCTCGTACCTGGGCAAGAATTAATAATGCTCATAAGACAACTTGAAATATTGAATTGATTCAACAGAAAACTATTAAAGAAAAGTATTAAAAAGTAACAATACCGCAGAGGAAGCAATAGATTCCAAGTGGGTCATTGGTTCTCCAACATATTTGACCGTTTTCTTGAAATACAAGTCTTGATTAAAAACTTTTTCTGCCTACAAGAAATATGATTAAAGATTAAAAACTTAAGCGGAATATATAAAAATCCAATAAAAATTAAACATCAGTTGCTACTTCAAATTCTAAGTAATTTGAACTATTCAGGTTGATCATAGCCCAGTCATCAATTTCCTTTACTGTCCAAGAGAACCTGTAAGATAATGATATTATCTTTCTAACTAACAATATATATGAGGGAAAACCTATGCCTTTTGGTATTCACAGACCAATACCATACTTGGCAAACTGAAAAAACATGAGCATACTACCAACAAAATAATAGACAACAGACAAATAACAGCAGGAAAGGAATAAAATGCAGGGAAAATTTTTCAAGCCCAGCGTTCCTCCAAGTTTTTAAATAACAAAAAGTGTCAAGGAGGAGAAATGCCAATGTTCAATATAAAAAGTGATAGAGAGGCCCTGTTCCCACAACTTTAGGCTATGATCTCCAAAACCACCTTTGGGAACAACTTTTAAAGAATGAACAAGGCATTTTCTTTTCTAAACCAACTGTGAAAAGGTCAGCAGCATTCAAGATAAAGTTTACAGTGAAATTTAAGGAAGATGTAAAAAAAAAAAAAAATACCTCAGCACAAATTTTGCCAACAGTAGAAATGGTTTCAACAGGATATAGTCCCCGAAGAGTCTCAGCACCAAGAAGAATTGCATCACTTCCTGCCACAATTAGAAAATCAGATGAAAAATAAAGGGCAGATTTAGTGTGGTAAACTTTAGGAACTGCAAAGAAAAACTATATAGAACAGTAATGAAGTAGTGATCAACAAGAACATAATGAAACAAGCACATGAAAATAGATGTATTCCAGTAATTACACATTGCATGCAATCAAACCTCGAAAATACAATGCCAAGCAATTAGTATTAAAAGCAAAAACTGTTGCATAAATAATAGTGTACCATCCAACACAGCATTGGCAACATCAGTTGCTTCTGCACGAGTTGGTCTCAGGTTGTCAGTCATACTGTCCACAACTCGAGTAACCACTGCAGGCTTCCCAGCCATGTTACACTTGTAAAGGGCAGCTTTCTGGAATAAGAACACCTGCAAGTACCAAGAGTTTAGATACAGTATTCGAAGAGAGATTACAAAAACACTAGTAAAGTGAAATATCATAATCTTCCAAACTGTTAATTAATTGTATTATAGTTTGGTTCACTCCTTGCCCCCACTCAATTTAAAAAAACACACACATATAACCATGAAGCATATAATGTCAAAAAAGTCCGCATATTTTACATTTATAAGCAGAATCAAGAATATGCAGATCTACATCTCAATTAAAATATCATTATCTTGTGAAGCCACTAGATCAGGTGCATGACAAATTTATGCCAAAAACTGTTGCTTTCATTACAATATAAAAACTGACCTTCTCAGGTGGGAGATCTATGCCCAAATTCCCACGGGAAAGGATGATCCCATCAGCTTCTTGCAAGATCTCATCAAAATGGGTTAATCCCTGAAAATATATTTCATAAATCAGCACCAAAAAATGCACCATTCTCAGTAACAAGTCAATTTCAAAAGCACATAAGCTACGTGATGGAGCTAAACATTCAACTAACCTCCACATTTTCAATCTTAGCAAAAATTTGTGTCTGGCCAAGGTCACCAAGCTTAGAGAGGTACTCACGAGCCTGAAATTGCACAAGATAGAAGACTGTTATTGAGCTACAAAACCAATTTAATTAAATAACGGTTGAAGATCACAGATTATACAAGCGAGCATGTTCATGGACCGAACTTACCTCACGAACATCTTCTGCATGTCGGGTGTAAGAGAGTGAGAGAAAGTCAATTTTGTTTTGAACTCCCCAAGTACTTATAACCTGAAATTAAAAAGTCACGAGGAGCACAAAATGAAAAATCTTGGATTAAATCAATTGTTAAATGGAACATGTTTGGGGCAATATTGCAGGACTGACCTCCTTGTCTTTATCAGAAAGAGTAGGCATGCCAATGCGAATTTGAGAGGCATGTAGAGTGAACAATGACCCTGCCAAAGTGGCAGAGTTCTTTATTACGCAAACCACATCATCACCCTTCACCTCAGAAACCTGCCCATTACCAGTAAGAACTCCATAATCAAGCATTAGCCGAGTTTAATTGCCAAAAGTTCTAGTGTAAAAAGTAGTTTAATTTATGTGTGGCTGCACGTATAACTAGGTTCGTTTAAATTCACCTTTCACCAAGCCCAAAAAAGAGGTTCCATATCCAACATTAAAACCAAAAGAGCTTCATTTTTCTAATTAATATTTTAGGAAAACCATGCCCAGACACAAATCAAAATTCACCTTACACTAAGTCAAAGCATATCCAACATTAAACCCAAAAGAGCTTCATTTTTCAAACTAATATTTTAGGAAAACCATGCCCGGACAAAAATCAAAACTCACCTTACACTAAGTCAAAGCACTGCAATAAACAACTAAATGAAACAATTACTGATGAACTCAACAAGCTTCCCATCACTTCTCAAAAAAAAAAAAAAAAAAAAAAAAAAAAAAAAAAAAAAAAAAAAAAAAAAAAAAAATTCTCATCCTTGCAAGTAAAGCATCATCAAGAAAGAAGAAGAAGAGAAAACATTAAAAAAAAAAAAAAAAAAAAAAAAAAAAATTCTCATCCCCTTGCAAGTAAAGCATCATCAAGAAAGAAGAAGAAGAGAACATTAAAAACACTCCATATAACGACTCTAGTCCTCTAGATTTTTTTTTTATTACCTCCAGCCACACAGACGTAGTTTCACTTCCAGTAAATAGGTACTGACCAACAAAAATGGTGTCTCCTGGTTTCACTGCCTGCAAAGACCAAAAAACTGTTTAATCATCTTGGAATATTGCACTAACAATAATCGCTAAGTTGCGGATAATTCATAAAAATACAACTCCTTTGATTTAAGAAAACCTACAAGGCATAGACGTGGACATAGCATTTTCACAACACAACACAGAAACTCCGACATGATTGATGATGTGTATGTTGTTTGTCATGTACCAAGTTGGAGTAGTGCCAGACATTACACAGCATAAACATATGCCCAAAACTAGAGTATTGGTGCTTCATGGAAGAAAACTTAAACCATAAATTCTGTAAAAGCTCAAAATATGGCAATAAATTGCCGCAATTGCATGTTAAGGATATTCACTCAAGACTAAAATGAATTGTTTGTAGCTCAAAAACTAATGTTTAAAACACAACTTTAGCCCTCACTTAACTGTCTATTGTAATGTGATGTTTACACTTCAGATTTGTATTAATAATCAACTGAAGCTGCCCTCTGTGGTTACAAGGAAGAAGAAGCAGAAAATTAACAAGAAGGATAAGATAATGGCTGAATCAGCCCCCAGGCCTTTGCCCGTGCAGATTGCTCTGCACAAAATAACTGAATTGTACCAAGATGCCTTTCTCTCTCATCTTCATTCTTTAAATAGGCTGTTCATGAGGAATCTGCTTACGTGTCTATTTCTTGGTTCCCGATTCTGTATTTGGAATTCCCTTTGCTGCCTCAGCAGGTTTCCCTCTTCTAGAATATACTAGGAATGGTTTAGGATCAGGAGCCTTTCTATCACTATTGTAATGTGATGTTTACACTTCTGTTGTTGCATATGTTTTTGAACCTCAAAACATAGACTTGACAACTTCATACAATACAAGCATCCAACCCAAAAAAGAATGCACAGTTTGGCAAACATGAAAAAGAAGTAAAAAGCTTTCCAAAGAACCTTATACAAGAAGGGGATATAAGAATTTCAAAGACAATATATTATTTTTCCAAATAAGCACCTCAAAAAGTTGGCAAGTACTTCATAAACCACATTTGCAGACTTGCCTAAGTAGAAGACAACCTGAATTTCTAATAAAATCAAATATTTGAAGCATATTAGCAACTCAACACTAGGAATCGTCTAAACTTTAAGCACTATCACGCACATTTTCACTAAAGATCACCAAATTACAATAAACAAAAACAGAATTGCACGAATAGTTTTCCAACCAATGGTTAAATAGAAGGATTAGTTCATGGAAACTATGGAACCTTGGATAGCCCATCAAAATTGATAGGCAAAATTTCTGATGAGGCTTCCTGTTCTTGATTTGGTGTTAATACAACAACACCATCTGCCTGTAGTGAAATGGAGTTCTCACTTTTGTTAACAACCTGCAATTCAGGGCCCACTGTGTCCAGCATAACCTGAAGAAGACAAAATGGGTATTCATTCATTTAATGCCTGAACAAGACAAATGCAAATGTTCCCTCTACAGTGCCCAAACAAAAAAATAATAATAATAATAAATTAAGCATTCTGTTTGCAAAGAGAAGGGAAATGAAATAAATTATTAACTATAATATCTACACTGGGTTATGGTTAATTTTGGTAGGCAATGTCCAGTACTCTTTGTCAACAGTCTTCATTATCATTTTTCAAGTAAAATACCAAAAGAAGATAGACACACACATAATTATAAAAAACGTTCGAGCCAAAAATAATAATAAGAAGAAACATACAGCACAAAGCTTCTTAGTGGTTTTAACAGCGGCCTTCAAGTTTTCAAGTGTCTCCTGGTGATACTCTGGGTTACCCCATGAAAAATCGAACCGAGCCACTGCTCATCAAAACGCATATAAGTAAAAACCATTAATTACCTCATCTATCTTCATGACTAAAACCAAAACGAAATCAAAAAATTTTGAAGCTCACCAGACATTCCAGCCTTAAGGCAGCCAGAAATAATCTCAACGGATCGAGACTTAGGGCCTAAAGTTCCCACAATCTTCGTCATTGCAGGAAAGAAACTCTGCGAAATTACACAAAATACACCGAATCAAAACCAAAAATTCATTCAAAAACGCAAACGAGATTACAGATCTAAAATAAATGAATACAGATTGAAAAAAAAAAAGAAAAAAAATACTCACAGCTTTTGATGGCTCCAGAATTGAAGCCATCCTTATCGGCTCCTCGAGAAGCAAGTGACTCGAATGCATATTCTCCGATTATAATACAAAAATCGAAACGGAAGAATACCGGAAGAGAACTGAGATTCTGACGAAAAAAAAAACGCTTCGATTTAGTGCTCGGCGTAAATCGGCCGAACCGTTTGCTTTTTATGTTCAGATTTTGGAAATTGGAATATGCTCAACGTACGCTTCTCTATTTTTCATAAAGGGATGGTGAAGACCGAAACCTGGTTCCACTATAAGCAGGTTTTGCCTTTTTAATATTCAACCCTTCTAGATCTTCAAATTACAGCGCGTGTCAAACAATATCACGCCAGATTGGATTCGGCAACTATTTCGGGGGCCAACCATTGGTGAACTTCATAGACTGTCATGTGCCGCTTACGTACAGGAAAATTGTACCCTAACGCTGTCGCGGAGAAGGGGAAATGAGGAAATGTTATTTGCAGCGTCGAAAATATGCGCGTGAAGGCGGGAGAGGTGTCGATTGGAGGTTAGTGGGCGCGTGGAGGTAATGATGTTGGGAAAGAGAGTGGGAATGTAGGGTACAGTGTGTAGTTAGGAGAGTTACACGTGCTTAGTTGTTTAGGTGACATTTCAGTGAGCTTGGGCACGTTGGAATGCCAAAGTGGAAAGTGCGTTCCGCACAAGGAAAAAGAAGAAACTTCGTGCTTTTAAAAATTCCATGGGCCGTGTCGTTGGGTTTGCTTAGTTTAGTACGGCCGTTGGGAATACGGTTGGGGACCAATGGAAACAAATACCCGACTTTTGTGTTGCTGAGGAAGGTCAACTAATTAAAGGGCTAGGAACTAGGACGGCTTATTGGGCTCACTTGAGTCTGAATTAGGCCATTTAATTTAATTTTAATTGCAGAAATTAAATTAAAAGCCCAAATAAAAAAATTTTAATGTCATTTTCTGTCGGTTGATAAGAAAAAAATGACAATTTGCACGACTACCAAAACCAAATAATAACTACGTAAAAACATTTGTTATTATTGACATATTACACAATAATAAAAAGATCAAATCATTTCATATAGGGGTGGCCACGGTCCGAAATCGGCAGTTCTGGTTCCAAAAAAACTGAAACCGGAACTGAACTAAAAGGTTTCGATTCTGGTTCCAGTTTGGAACCGAACGGTTCCGGTTCCGGTTCCGGTACGGTGACAAAACCGACGGTTCCGATCGGTTTTCCGGCGAATCGCATAATTGTTCCAGTTTTGAAGCCGAACGGTTCCGCGTTCCGGTTCCGTACGGTGACAAAAACGACGGTTCCGATCGGTTTTCCGCGCGAATCGCATAATGTTTTTAAATTTTAATTTGAAAACGGGTTTTCAAAATTTAATAAAATTTGTGAAAGTTTTTTGCTTAAAAAAAAAAATACATTCTAAAAAAATTAAAAAATACTTCAATTAAATGGATTTTTAAAGACTTGAACATAAATACTTCAATTAAATTTATTTTTTTAAAGACTTGAACATAATCATTTTTTAAAAAAAATTCTTCAACTGAATTTATTTTTTTTTTAAAGTTTGAACATAATTTAAAAAAAACACACACAAAACTGACAGTTTCTAACGACTAGAACCGCCGGTTCTAACCGGCCAGAGAACCGGCTGTTTCAATCCGGTTCCGACTGATTTTCTGGAACCGCCGGTTTCGGTTCCAGAAATCCGGAACCGAAACCAAACCGGAAATCTCCGGTTCCGGTTCCCAAAACCGTAATATGGCCACCCTTAATTTCATGCACTCCCAAAATAGGTGTTCATTTTTTTTTTAAACGCAAATGCTTATTTATCTATACTACCTATCTATACTTCTTTTAAATGCAATTTCAATTTTATTTTGATATTTCTCTTCATTTTTAACTCAATTTCACATTTTACAGCTATAGCATCCTTCATGCAATTAAGGATATAATCGCAAATGAAAAATATTTTTATCCATTTTCTAAGTATAGTATCTTATTGTTGAATAAATAAAAAAATACTAATAAAAATAAAATTATAAATATCCTTTGGATATTAAATTATATTTATATTTAGTTCCTCCCATATTTGTAGACTTGGAAATAAATATTTGAAAAGTAAAATTAAAATAATTAATAGATTATTTTATTATTAAATAAAAAATAATTTGGTTTTATTATGAATCAAAAAAATTACATAAATTATGATTTTTTATTCTTAACATGCATATAATATGAAAATAAAATATTTATTAAAATTTTAGTTACATATTTATTTCAAAAATTAAAACTTAATATGTGCAACATACTTTTTTTACAAAAATTAATATGCATCTTATTTGCATTATTGTTTAAATAACGAATTAACTCAAATATCACCACCATAAAAATGACGACAATAAATTCAAAAAAAGATTAATCGAAACTCAAGATCTATTACAAATAGATATATTCTCAAGATATGAGAATATATATCGAAAATATATTAAAATAAATATATATAAGAATATTTGCTCAAAATTTATCAAATAACACAAATCTTAGAATTATTAAAGGAAAAGACAAAAATAAAATTAAAATATAGAACTAGAGGGAGAGACTGGCCACTCGACTAAAAATAAGATAAAAGAGAAGCAAAAAGTATGAAGAATAGAGAAGAGAGGATTTTTTTTTTTTACACATAATTATATTTAATAATTAAAAATTATAAGTTTAATATGGTATACAAAACTATTCTTTATCATAAAATACATAGTTATTAAAGTTTATACTGTGAAATATAAATTGCAGATTGAAACGATACATGTATTTTTCAATAAATTTTTGCAAAAAATTTATGTAATTCAGGAGCGTTTAGATAGGACTTTATGTAATCAGATTGGCGGTTTGCTTTTCCTGAGGCGTCTGTTATGTCTTTGCCTCGTCTTGCTTCTGATCATTTTCCTTTGTTGTTGGCTACTAAAGGTTTTTCTCCTGTCCCTGTGTTTAAGCCTTTTCGGTTTGAAGCTGCTTGAGCTACTAGAGAAGATTTTCGAGTAGTGGTAGAGTCGACTTGGGCTCACCCACGTTCTTCTATATCTTCTGCTCTTTCTAATGTTCAGGAGTAGGCTTGTAGTTGGATAAGAAAGTGTTTGGTAATATCCATTATAATAAGCGGGTCCTTCTTCATCGTATTATGGGGGTTTAGGTAGCTTTGCATCGTCAGATCTCTACCTTCTTTCTTAATCTAGATAAGGATTTGCTATCTCAGTATAATTTGATTTTGCAGCAAGAGGAGGTTTTCTAGTTTCAGAAATCTCGCAGTTCTTGGCTTCGGGGTGGTGATCGGTGCACTAAATATTATCATGTTATTACTCGGGCTCGTTAGAAACAAAATAAGATCGAATATCTTAAAAATGATGCTGGTGATTGGATTTCGGATCCTCCTACTCTGAAGGGTTTGGCCTATGATTATTGTGCTTCTTTATTTTCTGCTGATTCTCAATTTTCTCCGTCTGTGTTCTCTGATATTGTTTTTCCTCATTTATCAGCCGATGCTGTGGCGGATATGATGAGGCGGTTTTTAGGGATGAGGTTTGGGCAGCAGTCTCTAGTATGGGTTCTTTTAAAGCTTCGGGGCCTTATGGATTCCAACCTTTATTTTTTAAGAAGTATTGGGATATTGTAGGTGATGAGGTGGTCTCCTTTATTAATCACACGTTTTCTACTGGTGTGATGGATCCCCATTTTAATCACACGTTTTCTACGGTGTGATGGATCCCCATTTGACCAAAGGTTTTATTTTCTGCATTCCTTAAGGTTGCTGCTCCAGAATTTATTCTCAGTTTAGTCGATCACTTTTGTAATTTTTTTCCTTAATGTCTTATATAAGGTGGTTATGAAGGTTTTGGCTCTTCGATTGCGGCCCTTTATGAATGGGTTGATTTGTCCTTTTCACAATAGCTTTATTCCTGAACGTACTACGATTGATAATATTATTATCACTCAGGAGCTTCTTCATTCTTTCCGAAGATCTAAGTTTAAAATGGGTCATTTTGCTTTGAAAGTTAATTTGGAAAAAGCCTATGATAGAGTGAATTGGGATTTTCTGTGTTTTGTTCCGGTTTCTTTTGGCTTTCTGACTTATGGATTTCTTTGATTATGAGTGCTCTTGCCCAGTCTTCTTTGGCAATATTTTGGAATGGGAGTCCTTCTAGTTATTTTGTGCCTTCTCGGGGCCTGCATCAGGATGACCCTTTATCCCCGTATCTGTTTGTCCTTTGTATGGAGGGGCTATCTTTATTGATTCAGCGTTAGGTGGTTAGGAAAGAGTGGGTCTCGGCCCATGCTTCGAGGGTGGTCCTCCTATTAGTCATTTGCTATTTACCGATGACTTGATTATTTTCAAAAAAGCTTCTGTGCAGCAAGCTAAAGTAGTTCATGATGTTTTGATGGCCTTTTACGAAGGTAGTGGGCAGAAGGCTAATCTGACTAAATCTCACATTTTCTTCTCCATTTCGTCCTATGCGACATCGGCTCCAACAGTTACTGGGTGTGGTAGTTACCTCAAATTTAGGCAAGTATCTAGGCAAATTAGGCAAGTATCTAAGGGTCCTTTACTTCATGGATGGTTCTTCTTGTAGGCTGTATCAGGACATTTATCAAAAGGTGGTCTTCTTGTAGGCTTGTATCAGGACATTATTCCCAAAAGGTGGTCTTCAGTGGTTGGCAGTAGTGGAGTTTTCCTTCTAATTTTTTGGGGGGGATGATGTTGTGTTGTGGTTGCGGGTTAAATTTATCATTGCACATGCCTAGTCCCTTTTGGTATCTTCTGACATCATTGGTTTTAAGTTGCCTATTTGTGGGTTTGGAAAGTGAGCAATTGATGTTTTCAAAATGAACTTATGCCTGCTTGTCTGCTTTAGATCTTATGTTTTTTAATGTAGCTTTGAATATTGTGAATTCTTCTACTCCTGCTGTTGCTTCGGCCGAGAGTTAGAGGCAGTTTTGTTTGGCTTGGTTAAGCCTTAGGAGGATTGGTGAAGTTTTAAATTGTGATGGTAGTAGTCTACTAAATCCAAGGTTGACTAGTGGTGGTGGTGTGTTACGTGATGTTGTGGATAGGTGGCTGGGAGACTATTCTTTTTAATATTGGTTGCTTTACTATTTTAGTGTTTGTGAGTTGTCCCTCTATTAGGATATGGGCTCATTCTTTGATTAGGATTATGGTTTCCGTAAAGTTGTTGGTTGGAGTCCGATTATTTGGAGGTTGTTAAGCTAGTGAACTCAGGGGGTTATCTATTGCTTCATCCTTAGGCTGTTTTTATTTTGGATATTAAGATCTTTTGAATGACTTTGATTAAAGAATGTTCTACCAAATCATGTATTCGTGAAAGCTAATTCTGCAGCTGATTATTTTAGCTAATTAAGATATGGCATCCCTTTTTCTTTGATTCCATTTGGGAAGCTAG